ATTGATTTCAATGAGTGAGAAGGCAAATATTGAAGAGAATCGGAAAGAAAGCAGCCATGAGAGGGGATAATTAGGGAGAGTAATAGATGAAGTCAAATTCAAAAGAAAGCAAAATGGTGTGGAATGTTGACAGTGCTGAATGTTGACTGAAGTTTTCACTTTTTTTAATGGTAATGCTAGTAGAAAGATACAGGGAATATTTTCATCTATGTGTGTAAAGTTTATCTCTACCCAGAGCCTCATCCATGTGTCACTCGGAGTAACAAACTTCAGATTTGACCTTTAGCGAACATGGACACGTCTTAAGAAAAACTGAAATAAGTGTTTTTAGTTCTACTGACAAAATGTTTATCGTTTTTTAGAAATATATTATTGGATTTCGAGGTTGGGGGCTGGATTTAAGTTGGCAGACTTTCAAAAATATTCACAAGTTCAACAGAGCCAGTTGTGTTTCAGCCTAACTGGGTGCCATTTAACCAATTGGCTTTGCGCCAGAGAGCTGAGATAAGTTTTCAGGAGTAACTCACTGTGGCCATGGGCTTTCACTGGCATTAGCTGCAGCAAGCTCCTGGGGTAACTTGTTTATAGCAACTTTTTCTACCTTAAGAAAAAATCTTTGAGCAGCTAACTTAGGTAGAAGAAGAGGAGCTCTTTGTGTGTATATGGTGGTATTTTGCTGCTGTTCTTCTGGGTTTGGCAGTGTGGGTCAATGTACTTACAAGTTTTGTACTTCCAGAACTAAATATGCCATTTGTGAGTTTATTTGCAATTAGCAGTACTTTTTACATTAATTCTGGTTCTCTGCAAAGACAAGCAATTTTACAACTTTCAGTGTGTTTACAACATTTGGCTTTTTTCCCAAAGAGATTTTTAATCTCCTGTGTTTGAACAGATGTGTAAACCAAAGTATTGCTGCCTCATATACTTTGGTCTTGTTTAATAAGAGGTAGATGGATGCACATTTATGGGCGTTTTAAAATACTTTTAAGACAGGCATTGACATGGTTAGGCTTGTATTCTATGCACGTTATCCCTGCTTGAATTAAATCATACAATCCTGATTTCCTGACAGTGACACATACACTAGGTCTTATCATAGTGTGAGCTGAATACTATGAATATTTTTCATGCAAAAATTCTATCAAAATACATATATTTTAAAACTAGCATTGTTTTCCTCTTTTAAAATACCTTTCCCAAGTAAAGTTTTTTATTATCCCTGCATATCTTAAAAAAAAAAAAAAAAAAAAAAATTTGTAAACATCTTAAATGTATACAGAATTAGTAGGATAACTGTAGAATATTTATGCTGTAGATAACATCTGCTAATTCAATCTTAATTTTGTTACTATCATCATAAAAACCTTATTCTCCCAATAATGTTATCTTAATTGGGGCCCTGGTTTCACTTTTGTGTAGTATAACTTTTAATAGTGCAGTAAAATTTTAGTCTTTGGAGTTGTGCATCTAGCTTAAAGAGTGAAAATTTATGCCTGTAGGTTGCTTAATATTAACATCTCTCTCTGTATGCTAGTTTGAGGTTACTTGCCAAAGTAATGGATTGAGAACAGATGTGGGATCCTAAAGTTCAAGAACATTGTGAACAGCCTGTGGAAATAAAGGAAGTGGACATGGATCAAATAGAAACACATTGGGAAGAAACATTGTAGATCCAAAACCAAATTTTGAACTGCAAATGACAAGGTGTGAACACAGTTTGTGTTTTCATCTCTAAAGCAGTGTTAGTAGGGGGACTGAGGATATCACTAAGCAGTTATTCTTTCCCTGATCTCATTTAAAAAAAAAAAAAAAAAGTAATGTTGCTCTTCCAGTTTGGTTTTTTTCCTTTTTTCCTAGCTTTTCAAACACGTTCTTTAATTTTCATTTTTCCCTTGGCTTGCCTTTTGGCAAAGGGAAAATTTTGATAAGAACTTGTGAGAATTTCTTAAAAATAACTAAGGTGTAAATAGGATAATATTTTTGTGCAAGACACTGACTGTCAATGCATGATGAGTTGATCTGTAGCACAATCTTCTTGAATTTGATTAAAACATTAGCTTTTTATGACTATGACATATAAAATTGGCATTCTCCATTTAAGAAGCATCATGTGATTGTTCATGTTTTAATCTTACCAGTATTACAACAAAAGTGTAATGTGTAACTTTTTTTGTCCTGTTCCTTTATACATTAATATAATGATACCTCTTCCAAAAGTATCTTTACAATTCTGAATAATTGTGCGTGTGTGTGTGTGTGTGTGTTAGAGATTGTGATACTGACAAAAATGTTTATACCTTAACTATGGTGTCTTTGAATTTGGTGTTGTGATTATTTATAGTTTTTCTATGAGTAAGTAACTCAAACTTAGTACTTTGCTAAAGTAACTAAGAGTTCTGAATATATACTGTGCAAAAATTGTGTAACATACATTAACAAGCAGGAAGCAGTGAATCCAAATTAGCCATTAATCTTTATAAATTAATCCAGGAAGTTGTTATGTATCTATTAAGACTGTAAGCTATTGACACAGGCGTTTTCTATTTTATAGTAATATTTGGAGGTTGTAACTGAGATTTGGGTCCTGTGGCACAGGATTAGGTATTTGTATAACCCCTGGTTTTGCACTGGAGAACTTAGAGATCTTTCATTTAGCCTCACAATTAACCTGTTTGGAAAAATATCCCACCTTACTATTAGAGAACCAAGACTTGGCGTTCAGTGTCCCTGGATGTTTGTGACGGAATAGGGAGTCTACACTGCAGCTTTCAGTCCCAGTCTTAACATTCACAAGATTGAGTGCTAGCTAAGAGTGACAGAATTGAGTGCAATAGAACTCATCATTATGTCAGAGACACAGCTGTTTTGATGATTTCCATGTCTCATTTTAATAGAAAAATGAAGAAAACCCAGAAGACAATACAGCAGAGAACAACATTGTTAAGGGAGGGCAAGAAATGTTGGCAAACAGTAATCAACGTCACCTGTATGTTATGCATCCTGTGACCCAGAAAAACAAAAAAGTACACAGAGTAGGTTCAACCACTTTCTTGGTTGGAAAGACACCCAAAGGAATCCGCAGGTAAGACTGTTTTGGTCAGATGCAAATAAAATTCTGAGGTTGTAATGAACTTTCCTCTGGGCAGCTTTTGTCTTTGTTTCAACCATACTCAGGGAATACTGATTATTTTCTATGGCAAGAGCAGAACTAATGGGAAACTTACATTCACACTACACAAAGAGTACCATAACTGATTAAGAAAATGAACTGAACCCAGAAATCACTTTAATGTGTTGATTCAGTGTGTCATATATTACATAGCTGTGCAGATGTCATCACCATGAGTGTTCCTGGTATGTGCATCATGCAGTACTACAAACCAATGTTTAAACTGTATAGAAACAAATTCTATAGTGTGAGCTTCTGACTGACTACTGGTTTTGCCCAGATCTCATCACTTTCATTGAAGGACTATTAAAAAAAATTGGACTCTGTGTTTATTTTTTAACTTGGTGCTCAATATTTTTTAATATTTCTTTGAACATTTTGTTTCCCCCCTCATTTTTGGAAGGATAATAATTTTTCTATCTCCTTGTTTTCCCTTTTTCCCCAAACTATTGCTATTATTAATACAAATACTTAAATTCCATTGGCATATAGATTGAAGTTCATTAACAATAGCCATATGGTATGTGGAAGTAGAAAGTGGAAAGCTGTAGCTAACTAGGCAAACCTATAGAACTGGGATTTGGTATATACTGTCAATTTAGCCTTGAGATACTTAAATTACTATATCAGAGTTGGTATCTAGGTAATACCTGTAAGTGTTCAGAATCTGTCATATTAGCCAGCTGACCTCAGCTATCCAAACTGTTACTGTTGAAGTGCCAGACTTGCTTACTATTATAGATACTGAAAATTCTAAATATTTAAGAGGCAGGTAGAAGGGAACCCTTCATGCCAAAAATGTTCAAAATTGTAATCGTAGTTATCAATAATTTGTTGAGGTAAAATTTTCAAAGGCAATGAAATAACTAAGGGTGTTATTCTAAGATGCTAAAGCCATTATCTAGCAAAAAGCTTAAGCAAATTCTCTCTTAAACATTAAGCAGGTCATCTGTTAGCACCTGGCTTGCAGTTAGACTTTGTAGTACATCTGGATATGCTGTGCAATGAATGAGGATGAGTAGGTGCCTCAGTTTGTGTTGTAGTTGTAAGGGAGAGTGGGAAGCTGTCTGCAGTCACCACACAAAGGATATAGTTGGAGCTAGCCAGTCAAGTGGTATTTGAGGCCAAACAGGGTTAAATCTCGCTGCTTATTGGAGCCCTCATACAGGAAAGGCAACATGTTTCATATCCTTTCTCTGACAAGGTAGCATAAACCCACCTCTCCAGCCTTCCAGTTAGGTTACCTGACCCTAGACTATGGCTAACTCAATTAGGGGGATCTCCTTTAGTTAGAGCTTGGCCTCTTAGTGGAAACAAATATTCCATAGTTTACTGGGTAGGATGGAGGGGACAGTCCCTGTCTCCTGTGAATGTGTTTCTCCAGCTCTTGTTTAGCAAGCCTTTTAAAAGGAGTTTGAGCTACTACTTCCTGCCTGTGCCCCCCCCCCCCCCCCCCCAAAAAAAAACAACTCCAAAAAACCCAACATTCAACCATATGTCCATCTGCATCCTTTTGGTAGCTAAAGACCTTCTAAAATCTGGTCCTTTGGTGTGATATCTTACCTACACTGAGTCAGTAACCCTTTGGATTGTAAGGTGAGGAAATCACACTGGAATTTGGGATTCAGAAGTCACTTCAGTTCTTCTAAGGTCATCATTCTTCCTTCTCTTTGCTAATAAAAGCAAACAATGCTCCTAATAAGGAAGTTACTTTTAGTGATTACTTTCTGGGATATGTGAAGTAGGTGAATTGAATTAATTGCTTGGAAGCTGCTTTTGTTTCTAGCTAAAGGTATCAAAATAACATATTTTTACTTCTTGATAATTACAGGAGACAATTTGAGGAGATGGTATCCCACTTTAATATGGGATCAGTGGAAGAACTCGCAGAACATATTGCAAAAGCTACATCAGAAACAAGGCAGAAGATGTTGAAGGAATTCTACATTTCCAAGTATCCAGAGATGGAGTCTTTCTTCCCAGTTGAAATATCAGCACAAGCTTCACACGACTATGAGGAAAGAGAACTGGGTACAACACACTCCAAAAAAAGAAAATCCATTGTTAATATTGGAAGATCTAAGTCTAGAACTTCATCAGCTGAAGGCCGACGTCTGAGTGGAACTACGGAAACACAGAGCCAGCAGAGCTGTAAAGGAGGAGTAGAGCAGCTTCACAGTGACTCCTACTTGCAAGATGTGTGTGTTGATGCAAAATATAAACAATCACCCACTGTTGCTACTCAACATATCGAAAGGAGAAACAGTCAGGCATTCAAGGATTTTATGGCATCTGGCTCATTAAGCAGTAAATCAGAAATAATTGAGGTGCTGCCTGTAAAAAGTTGTGAAGGACAGCAGGACTCAGAAGGAACACGGCTGCCAAGAAAAAGATCCCCATCTCAGTCAGAAAATGGGGAGAGAAAAGCTCAGACTTGTAAGAAAAAGTCCTTTGTGGACTTGCTTGGAGATACCTCTATTCTAAATGACCTCTTCAGAAATGATGGAAATGGGCCTACGGAATCACCAAGGAGATTCCCTTCAGGGCAAGCAGAAAAATCAAAGGAGAGACCAAAAGATTTCTGGGACATGCTGAATGAAAAGAATGAGGAGAGCCTCAGAAAGCTCACGGACATAGCAGTCATAGAGAAGCTATGTGAAAGAGCACCTCATCCCCCAGTGACAGAAGAGAGAGAAGTGTGTGAAAGTTCTCTTTGGAAAAAAAATGAAAATTTTCTATGGAAAAAATACAGTCCAGATGATTCAGATGAACCATCCACTGCTACATCTTGTAATGTAGTAAAATGAAAGTTTTTTATGTGAGTTGCACTGTAATTATTTTAATGTTCAGCTAGAATATCCACAACTTCAGCAGTATGCAGCAAAACGTGATACCTCCATGAAATTAAAGGCAAAGTGATGAATTCATATTTATGATGATACAGATTTACATTTTACAGATGTGAATATATATGTAATTACATCTGTATAGTACATATGTGCATAATGGTGCTTATGTACTATATATTGTAAGCTATGATATATTAATTTTAAATTAAACTTTTTTGAATGTTCTGACTGCACTTTGTTTTCTTGAATTCTGATTATATTCCTAGACTCAGTAGCTTTAGTAAGTAATTTTTCCCCTTTACATACCTTTAGACACCCTCAGTCATCTTGGCAGAATATAATGATATTAACAGGATTTGACAATGATATTCCACATATTTTCTGAGCTACTAGAGACTCAGGGAATTCATGAGACAGAGATGATATCTTTGTGCCTAATAGCCTTTGATGAATTTTTTTCTTTTTTTTTTTTTCTTTTTTATTGTTCCACTGTGATTTTGCTCAGTCTCTCTTTGAAGCTGTGGCGCTTCTAATTATCTTCAGTATCTTATGGCAGTGAATTTCTCAGCTTGTTTGATGTGAAGAATCACGAATTTTTGTTTGTTTGCTCTTTTTCAGTGCAAGACCTACAGCACATTAAATTATGCTGGGTATCAGATTTCATCTCTCATTGCACTTTCATCTCCCATTTTTTATTTTTATGGACTTTTATCATGTCTTTCTGAGATGATGTGGTCTGGCCAATGCATTGCTGTTACTCACTGTTCTATGCAAGGGAAGTGGAGAGGCAATAGTATTTTAAAATAAAATTTTTTAAAAAATACACTTTTTCCTAGTGAATTTCAGGAAAATTCTAATGCCATTCAGTAATTCAGATTCACTGTTGTCTCCATTTATTTCATACATTTGAGTATCTGATAGGGAAAAAACCAAATATGGTTTATACTGGGAAAACTCTTATTTCTTGCTCAGCTTAAGAAATGAAACAAGTTTCATTTTGTGAGCATTGTATTCTGAAAAAAATCTGAGTGCATTGTTGTATTGCACGTGCACTTAGAAATATCATGCAATTAACATGCAGATTGTTGATTGATTTTTTTTTTCTTTAATTATTTTAAACATGAATATTTAGTACGAGCAATTTTGTGGGCATTTGTGTGGATACATTTTTTTTTTAACCTCAGGCTGTCCATACTCTTAAAATCACAGTGAGGTAACTTTTTGATGAAATTAACTAATCTTCTGTTGAATTAGTCTGCTGTTAACACTGAATATTACTGTTGAGTGTATTGCAGCTTGAATTCAGCTTCTGCTGGTAGTCAAAAGGTTTGTCAGTCATATTATGCTTACATAATTGTAGTCCTTGCTGTGCGATGTCAGTTTGCTCCACTATGATGCTTTAATCGTTTCTGCAGCAGGAACAGCCTATGAGTGTCTTGGACATTTCACCAAGGATTTTGCTTACCACATTTGAAGTACACAAATTGGACTAGGCACAGCAGTTAGCTGCCTGAGGGAATTTCAAGAACCATGGGATCATAGAATGATGGAATGGTTTGAGTTGGAAGGGACATTCAAAGATCATCTAGTCCAACCCCCCTGCCATGGGCAGAGACATCTTTCACTAGATCAGGTTGCTCAAAGCCCCATCCAACCTGGCCTTGAACACTTCCAAGAACGGGGCATCCACAACTTCTCTGGGCAACCTGTTCCAGTGTCTCACCACCATCATCGTAAAAAGAATCTCCTTCTCATGTCTATTCTAAATCTACCCTCTCTCAGTTTAAAACCATTACCCCTTGTCCTGTCATGCAAGCCCTGGTAAAAAGTCTTTCTCAGTCTTTCTTTTAAGACTCCTTCAAGTATTGAAAGGCTGCAATAAGGTCTCCTTGGAGTCTTCTCTTCTTCAGGCTGAACAACCCCAACTCTCTCAGTCTATCCCTCTGACTTTTTTTGTGGCCCTCCTCTTAACCTGCTCTAACAGATCCATGTCTTCCTTGTACAGGGGACCCCAGATCTGGGTGCAGTACTCCAGGTGGGGTCTTGTGAGAGTGGAGTAGAAGGCGAGAATTGCTATCCAAAATTGCCACCTGGAACTCCTGTAGTGATCAGTCACAATTACGAAGATTCAGCCAACCATCCAGTTTCAAGTCAGACCATTATCTCATCTATGCAGATGACCAGTAATTCAAGGAATAATGACTCGAATAGACTGGGTGTGTGCACCACAGGTCCCTCCACCATTGAAAGCATAGGGAATCCGTGCTCCTGATCATACCTGACAAATTATTTAACTCCATTACCCTTTGAGCCTGTTTATACAGCAGTATATGCTTGAGGAAAGCACTGGTGGCAGTCCCTGCTTCATGCCACCTCTGCTATTTAGGCAGATTTCTGTCTGTAGTGCTGTATATTGTGTGTTCCTCTGGCTTTGGCATGACAGCTGCTGGGTGCCTGTTCTGGCTGCTGTGTTTCAGCCAAAGCAAATTATTTACATGTGTCTTCCACATTTGACTTTAATCTCAACACCAGAGTTGGAATGAGCCTGGTTATGATCATAGCACTTCTCATAACATCAAATTTTTATACTATTACTTTGCACTCATAGCTTTCAGAGCAAATAATTTTTATGTTGGACTTTTTGAACATTAGTTTTGCCCAACACTTCGCTAGTGCTATGTAGGGTTGCAGTCCCAAGCTTTCAGGATGAAGATGTGTAAAACTGGGATCAGGTTCAACCATAATTCCTCTGATGTGTGTATCAAATGTATGCGTTATCAAATGGAATGGTAGATAAAGTTTTTTACCCAGTTGTGCACCCTATTCAACTACTTCTGTAACAGAACATCTTCGTTCTTCCTCCTAAGATGGTGAGGAATATGACCTCAGGGTTCTGTTCAGCATTTTGGATGCAAAACATAGAAAAATCTGTACATCTCTGAGAACATAATAAATACTTTCCAAGGTGTACTTGGGGGGTCAAAAAAAAAGCTGCTGGATCTCATTTTTATTCCAATACTACCATTATTTCAGAAAGGAGTCGTTCACCTTGTCAGTTTTTAAGAATATGCAATACAGTATGAATGGAATAAGGAGTTTCTGTGTACTGACAAGTTAGCATCTTAGTCCTGAAATGCTGGCTGTAATAAAATTTCCAGATGAAAACTGTTTTTCACAGATTGGAGGAGTGGTTATAAGATAAGCAATGCCATACCTCATTTGCCAAATAGTCTGTCACATTTCTCAATACTATGGGATCATGTGAAGGAGCACCTTATAACACATAACCAAAAGAGGCCAGGGCTTCATGTTGCTCTGGAAGCCTTAACCCTAATCTTCGATTTTTGTAAGCTTTGAAATCTCAGATGTAATGCTCTATTAGTGTAGGGGTTTACATTGAGTATAGTGTATAAATTGTTTTATGCGAAGACTAAATGTTATGAAATTTTAAAACCTTGGACACTGAAGCTGCACAGCAGCAGTCTGTGAATGGTGGTAGTTTTTGTGGTCTGGATGACTGCCCATTGGAAAATAAGCTTAAATTTAATCTGGAGCAGCTTCTACTTTAGGTCATGGGAAGCTGTTGTAGGGTTTGCTCTATCTCTGTGTTAACCATTATGCGCTTATTGTAAGTGGAAGCCATCTAAAAACCTAACTGGGAAATCTGACTTAACTACCTGGAACAAGGAGCTCAGTATTTAACATACATGATAAAGTAGTAAAAGCCTTGGTCTTTACAGACAGCTAACATAAGTAAGATAAATGTGTTCCCTAACTGTTTTTCTCACCCTGAATCTATGCTGTTACCACTTTATTATACCCAATGGTATTTAAGATCCCAAATGACATTTAGGTTAGTCAGTTGGAACAGCTTTTTAAAAAAAAGTCTCAACTGAGAAAATAAAAAGCCATAAACTGTTAGTTATTGGTACATTTGAATTATGTACAGCTGAAGGAAGTCATCTTTAAGGCAGGTTATATCTGCACCCTTCTTGTTGATGTTAATAAACAGAATAAATTAAGGCTTTTATTGGTGGCATCAGTACTGATTTTCTTTACAGAATAGCGTTCTTCTGCTTAGAGAGGCAAACTGCTGCTTAACTAAGAAGAGAAGATTTGGTGGAATAAAGAATATGGTCATCAAATATGTAAAAAGTCTGCTGCATAGAGAAAGGGAATAGTCCCTTTGTGTCCACAGCAAAAAAGGAAGAGTTAAGTGGCTTAAGCCATACCAAAGATAATTTAAATTAGAGAATAGGGAAACTCTGTAAAGGTAAATGTTGTATAATGGGTCGTTTAGTGCCGATATTGGACGTCACCAAGAATAGGAGAGACAAATATCTGTTACAAGTTGCATAGGTAAAACTGACTTTTCTTTTTAGGCCAGATGGAGGGACTGGTAACTTCTCAGTCTGAGGGCCAGTAGGGGCTAAATAACTTTGTTGATTTCAGCTTGTATTGGGGTACTAGACAGAGGCTTCATCTGACCACCACTAGTTTGTCAGTCATGGTCTGAATCAGTAGATACTGGGGAGGGCAAAATCTGATTGACTTAGGTAAGACTTCTCATCTTACTTCTTTTAGAAGAACCTCAGAGCAATGGAACTGTATGGGTAGAAGGCTGAACTGTAGGGCTGATTCCCAAATACAAAGCCGTCATCATTTTCCTGAAGTAATCAGAAAATTATGTTTCTCATCTATAAGGTGATGATACGCATAAATCAAAACCTCCATAAAAGTGCATGTTTTATTCACCTGTATGCCAAATACGGATGATGTATTTGTGGAAATACATATGTTATCTGCAATTGAACTGAGCTACAGGAAGATGTCTCAAAGTAAGATTTATGTCACTCTGTAGCTTCCTGTGAAAATTTAACGTATTTTAGTAGGGAATATCACCTAAGCCATAAATACTGCAATTTAGCGCCCTGGGGATCTGTGTATAAAGTATTTGTGTCAAGAAGAAGATGTCTGTATGACTTAAAGAATCTGAACAAATTAAAAAATGAAGAATTTGACCTATATTTGAAGGCATATCCTTCAAATACTAAA